TTTAAAAATTGCGTAAAAATACTATAAATCATGATAATTGACAACATAAAATATTTCAAAAATGTTATATGTGGGTAGTCTTATTATGCCTTAAATAGCGTCAAAGAAAGTACATGTTTGTGATAAAAAAAAACTTATTCTTTTATCCACGCAAACAATCACTTTAAAAATTCCGTTATTAGCCCCAAAACATACCATTTATATTATTGGGTCCGTACATAGCACATGCAACATTATCTAGTATATATATATATATTATATTCTTATCCCCTATTAAATATGTCATAAGAAAAAATGACATTTGTCAAAAGCTCTTTACCTAAACATGTCCCCACAAGTTTTTAAAGCATATATGACTTTTTTTTTTTTTTTGTATTTTGTATATACACAACTAAATTTGACAAAGATGGATATCTGATGTTTAGTTGAAAATGCTTAAAATAAAATTAAAAATACAATATAAAATATACATGTGTCACTAGTTTGAACAACAATGTTGCTTTTTATCTCCTTCGAAATTTGAATACGAGATTTCATGATTCTTAATTCATGCTATTTTATCTTACTTTACACAATAAGTTACTGAGTTTGATTAATGTATATTTAAAATATATGGAATAATAAAACATATTATTTTTTTAAAATTTAAACGAGACATTTGTATTTTAAGATGTGTGCCCCTCTAAATTTTAAGCACTAATATTACATGTCTTAATATATCGTCGTTTTTTTAATACGAGAATCAGCCTTTACGCAATAAGTTACTAAGTTGGATTAATGCATTTCAGTTATGGAACAATAACATTTTATTTTTGAAAAATTTAAATGAGACATTTGTATTTTAAGGATATGTGCCCCTCTTTTGCTTAAAACCTAATCCATTCTAATTTTAACTTGTCATTATTGTTCTTCATAAATTAATAGGTATGTTGTGATTATAAAGTTGTTGTATTGTAAATTGTCCACATTTCCTAATTAAAAAGTCAAAATCATATAAAATAAAATGACATTAAAGAGAAAATAATGAAAGAGACTAAATCGAGCAGGACAGGACAGGGCAACACAAATTTTCAAACATGTCTAAAAAAGTGTCTGAGGTACCAAGTAGTGGCCCTATTACAACTTCATGAAGTCTAGTATTTACTAGGTATATAACCAAAACTTTTTTAAAAAAAATGACGATAAAAAAAAGATATTGATTGATGACATATTTGATTTTCTTGATCATACATGATTAATCACACGTTGAAGAAGTGATTTTGGAGAAATCAAGCTTTCTGTATAAACGACACCGTCTCGATGAATACCAATTTGAGGCCATAATCCAAATGGTCCTTTGGATGTCCTAAATACAGAATGACCATCCAATTTGCAGCAGAGTAGAAATTCACCATCCGCAAACCTATATTTTGGTATGATTGAATGAAAACGAGTCTCTTTTAGAGTAAAAATCTCGGTCCAAGATTCCTTTACACCGTAGTCTTTCATTATCCACAACTTAAAAATGCCGTCCATCTGCCATTGATAATGAGTACAATAAAAGCAAAGCATTCCTCCCAATACTGACACGCCATAATCAGAATTCATCCCTAACCTGTAGATTCTGAACGTTGGTGGCTCTGGCAACGATATTTCTCCAAACACCATATTATCTGAAGAAGAACTAAACGAAACAATACAAAGAACTCCCGAAAAACCAACCCAATGAAATGCTCCATTTAGAAATGCCAAAGGTTCCATATTGTGATCCTCATCAAATTTAGGCTCAATCTCCAACGTATATCCCGTGTTAGAAATTCTACTTGGATAGTTACGAATTTTTCTCCAGGAATCACTTTTTAACGCGAGAATTTCATAGGATGGTTGGAGATGGATATCATCTGAATAACCTTGGTCTAGCTTAAGGACCTTATAGTCATCACTAGTTGCATCATATCCTAATCCAAAAGTAGAGTACCTTGTTACAAATTCTGGATGAGGAAGTACTGTTGATTCTCTCATGGAAGGGTTCCACAACAGAAGTTGTTTATCATATCGATCAAAAATGCCAACAAGAACCAACCCATTACAAGAACCGTAAATGTGGCAATAGTGATCTGGTATACTGTTTGTAGGGCAATCGAGGTTTTGTATATCCTCAACAAGTTGAACAGTCGATAAGGAAGAAGAAGAAAAGAAGGTAACCTTATCCACTGCAACAAGAAGTTTTTGGGAATTTAAGTCATTCTTGTGATGTCTTTGATGCTTCATGTTGAAGTAAGGATCGGAGATTAATGTCTTCCAATTTTTTGAAACACATTTGAATCGGAGAAGAGGCAACAGGCAGAGGCGAATCTAGGATTTTTCGAACATGGGTGCACCAAGTAAAATGTATTGAAGTGAGAATTGATCCTTAATCCTCAAGGTCAAAACCTCAACATTTAACCATGTTGACCATTTAGACTTCTTGTAGTACGGGTGCAAGAATATAATATTATACAAAATCTTAAAAATATACATATAAAATATCTAATTTTACGAAGAGACCACGGGTGCGGGTGCCCTATTTTTTGGCAGTAAATTCGCCACTGTATGCTTGAACATGTATGTTGCCCATGTATCTCATGCTTTATTAGTACAAGAACTTTGGAAACATTATAATTAGTGTGATAAGTTGCACAAAAATTGAAGATTTGCATGTATTTATAAGAAGTTTTTGTCAAATGAGAGTAGTGTTTTGCAAAAGTTATATAGAAATTTGATCAATCTATGTCTTCCTTAAGATGGCTAGAAGATGAACATTGTGCGATAACTTGCATAGTAATTGAAGAGAAAATCTACAAGCTCAAAAACAGGGGTAACCTACTGAGAATGTCCATAAGTATTTCGTCTTGAAAGTCAATCCTCATGGCCTAAAAAGGACAAAACAAGTGTTTTAGACCTTGTGGAGATGAAAGACTATTTCCAAAAGCCCTAAACTCTCACGTTATAACTACTAATGCCTTGGAAAATCGTTTAAACATACCTTGGTAGATGAAGCTTTTCCACAAGAAACATGTGTGTGCTTCGTTTTCTTGTAGAGCCTTATCGATGTGTCACTTGATTCCTCCAAAGCCTCATTTTCTTCATCCAATACCTTCACCTAAGGTAAGAACACCATTTTTTTGAAAACTTTATTTCTAGCATGACAAGGAGACGAAAGGCTTGTCTCTATAAATCTATACTTACATCCTTTTCAGCTTTATTGAGTCCGTTCATCGACAAATGTTCATTAGTTTGCTTGACCTCAGCAACCAGAGCAATTAACTTTTGTGTCAATGGCCTCAATCTATCATGTTAAAAGGAAGTACTTAAGCGAAAATCAGACAAATTAACTATGAAAATTGGGTAAAAACAGAATCTAAACTCACTGTTTCCAGTTTTTTAACAATCTTTGGCAAACTTCTATACCACTATTTGCTTCCAGCAGAGCAAGTGCTTTCGTCGTTGATGCAGCATCATCTCTACCAACCAACGTTTCTAGGAAAGTGTCGAGCAGATTTGTTTCCACAGAGTCATCAATCTAGAGAATTTTCCAACATAATACAATGTATAACTAACATATTGACAGACACATTGACCATTCTGTTTTGAGATAATGGTCAAAAATGAAGTGCAGATAGGAAACTCGCAAAAATGTGTGGTTTTGCCCATTATTTCTTTCACTCTTGATCAACCAGTTAACTATGTTTCGCGCACAATACATACGAAAACCAACAACAGAACTACAGAAACTACTCACCTGATCATGATCAACGATATCAATATGATTTGTCTTATTTGATGGCGTCACAATACTTTCCCCTGAAATTATAAATTGTGGTTAGCCCCATATAGACAATGAAGTACAAAGCAGAGTCACGCCCTAGGCACCACCATTATTAAAAACACATACACAACAAAAAGAAACAGATACCTTCGCAGATTTGATTGAAAAGCTTTGCCTTTTGAATTATATCATGTTCTTCTTTACTAGAAACTCCAGCTCCTTCAAAGTCCCTATCCGTTCCTTCCTTGTCTCGTGGCTTAAGTGACAAAGGTTCCATCTTTTGCTTCATCCTCATGGGGCTTTTCAACCAAGTTTGAACGCCCTTTCTTACAGTTTCTTGGCTCCTGTCACTTAAGCTAACAATGCAATTAAAAAACTGTCACATTACTTAACAAAATGCTTAAGGTTACAAGTTCATATTGTCAACCCCTTTTGCCATTGCACTGGGAAGATTCAACAAGTTAATATACATGCAAAAAATTATTTCCCCCCCTATATACATAGTATAGTTTTACGACGAGGGGATTCAATTGAACCCCCTTGTGCCTCCTACCTCCGTGCTTCTGCCCTAATGGATTCAATTGAACCCCCTTGTGCCTCCTACCTCTGCGCCTCTGCCCTAATTGAATGGGGATTACAAGGTGCGTCTCTGCCCTAATTGAATGGGGATTACAAGATGGGGAATTGAACCCTCACCAACAAAGTAAAAGTTCAGATAGTCAATCAACTAAGCTACTAAAATTCCCCATATCTACCCGTCATTCAAATAGCCAATCAACTAAGCTACTAAAATTTCCCATAACTACCCGTTATTTTATTTTTTTGAGAAAGGTAACAATAACTACCCGTTATTCAGACAGCTAATCAACTAAGCTACTAAAATTCCCCATATCTACCCGTCATTCAAGATTTCCAACAAGAAAAAATTATTTATATGTACCCAAAGGAATCAAGCCCCAATACAATTTGGCCAATTAGAGGTTTCTTCACAACCCTAGACCAAGCAATTGCTTTGTTACTGAGTTTCCAAAATGCATATACAAAATTATCATCATCTAATAAAAACCCTAATCAACACAAGTACATCAATTTTCATAGAAAACACTACAAGAAAAGCAGATAAGTACCTTTTTTCAAACCAAGAAATTTCTTGCGCAGAGCAGCTTTTCTGGAAAAAAATATATCAAGAGAGTCACTCGGTTCAGTATGAAACAGTTTTAGTTTTTTTTTGTGGACTTCTATAATTAGGCGCGACATATGAAGTCATTTTTTAACGGGTTGAAATGGGTCGGATTGAAATAGGTTGAGGTAATGAATGGGCGGGTTGTTCATTACAATGTATTTAATATGATTTATATTGTATGTACTATTTGCACGGAACACACGTGCCCAAAAACAAGTAATACGAATTGTAGACCTAGAGTCGAATTCAAGATTTAAAGTTTATGGGTTTCTACATCGATTTCAAGTCATTATATGATAATATCTGGATTCATAGTTAAATATTTATAAATATATAGTGAATATTTTAATAGATTTATAGGACTTAAGCAAAAGCTAGTGAATTTTCGTGAACCCGAAGCTGGATCCTCCCTTTATTGTAACGTTGCATTATGTAATACTCGTGCACTATCTTTGTGTAACCATTTTTTGTCTTTTACATCTGTGAATCTTTGAACACGCTTTTTGTTATATATGCTCTATTTGTCTTAATTTATGTGTAGGTGTTGATTGGTCACAAATTTCAAAAGAGAAAAGGAAGGCTGTTGAAACTTTTAGTCTAAAATAAGTCAATGAAATTTTTGTGGCGATAAATCATCTCATTAAACATCCCACTATGAATTCTTATGGGATAATTACGCGGTTAAGCAAAGTTATACTACTTAATTACTCATCATAACTATAGTTTGCTATAATTACCACTCGCGACTAACATTATACATTAATTACATGGGCTGACCACATTTGTATATGTATAATTAGCCAGAATATACAAATACATATGTATAATATACAATTATCTAACCGATATACATATACAATTCACCTCTCTCCCACTCTCTGCCCTCTCTCGCTCGCCTCTCTTCTCCCTCTCCCAATCTCGCTCGCCTCTCTCCTC